CTAGAAAGAGACCCAATCCTCCACATAAGAATTTAGCCCTAACTATAGTTTCCAAACTCGTGCAAGGAAACCGACGCGTGGTTAACTTTCCTCCATATGGGCTCTTCATCAAGCAAACTGACATGCCCTCCCTATCTGTGGAATAGTCTTTAAGCTCCAAGAAAGCTGGGGCCTAGACTCTCAGCTGTTCAAAGCTTAGAATGATGTGCCTACTTACTAGGTGTCAGATACTAAGGGCGACAGCCCATATGGTGCTTATTAACAGAATAGTATTCCAAAACTTCTCTAATGACTGTGACCCTCTTGTGAAATTCTGATTTCAGTTGTATATGGGGTACAATAAATCTTTATCTTTTATCACCAAAAAAAGTTAATGGAATGGCTGTTTGGAGGCAGAAATAACAAAAACGGAGGTAAGAGGCTTTTAGCCTGGGTTAAGGCACGCAGCGCCTGTTTCTGTTTTGCAGCGCACGCATAGTCTTCTCAGGCTCTGGAGAACACGGGAGGCCCCAAGCCACAGCTGTGTGCAACAACATGCTGATTTATTCAGACCCAGGCCATCCCTACTCCTACGTTTCACTTCTCTGCAGAAGAACTCTTACTGGTGTGGTTAATATTTTAAAATCAAACAGTAAAAGAAGGTAAAAGCTCAATAATCTGAAGCTCTTTTAATAAACTCTTATTATATTTTAAAATAAATTTAGGCCCTGAGTTCTGATGAAGCGATTCTGGACTTATTTTCCCTGGCAATATAAATAGCCACATTTACAGTTCACAATATTCGATTCGAACTGTCATGGGAAAGAGGTTTTCCAAAAGGCAGAGAAATATGCAATGACCCAAATATTTATCTGCTAAAGTGGCTACCCGAGTACCTACGCAGCCAAAAGTGCCTCTGGTTGTCTGTGACGCCTGTCCCCTGGTGGGCATCTGAATGTTAACTGGTAGTAGTGATACAGAGAATGAAATAGTCACTAAGTAAAAGTGGTTAAGTGGTGGGATCTACAGGTTATATACACAATTCATTTTCCCCAAAATGCAAAGTATATTTAGAAATATTCAAATGGGACATTATTACTCTGTATAGGATGTCTTATCTCAGCATCAAGGGCTTCTTCTGAATTGCTAGAGGAGGCTCTTTGATTATGCAATCCAGCTTCTAAAGTCCATTCAAAAGACGAGATCAACCAGTGCACTGATGCTTCCAATTTAAACTAGGAATCCTGTAGTCTCTTATCCAGACCTTGTCTGACCTAAAAGAAAATCACCTCCTAGAGGATTTCCATGGCTGACTTTGTGACAAATTTGATGTGTACTGAAGACGACCCAATGTCTACATGATTCCAAAAATGATTTTGCCCATGGTGTACTTTTTTGCCCTAAAATACCTTTTCTGTAGCTTGTATGGGTTGGTTTATGCTGCTTAATGCCATACAGAAGCACACAATATTCTGTGATAAAGATCAGTGCCGATGTAGATTTTATATTCTGTAACTTAAAAAAAATAAATGATACTCAAATTTAAAAAGGAAAGCTTTTGTAAAACAACCATTTGAAATTGTACTGACATAGTGAAGGGGCAGGTAACAACAGGCTAATGGGTTAAAACAAAGTTCACTCTTAAATTAGGTACGAATTAGTTAATGGTAAATAGGGAGTGTGGGTATCCCTAATTATGGATTTATCTGGGGATTAATAGAGAAATCCACAAATAATCCATAAATCCAGTCACTTTCTACCTTCCAACCTCTGAAATTACAAATTGACTTTTTGTATATTTGTGTGCCTTTTAAATTACTGCTAGGAGTTCATAACTGGAGGAAAATGCAGGCTGTCAACAGGAACAGCAACAAAGGCCCTAGATTATTAATAATCTGGGAAGTTATGCCATAATTTTTATTTGATCCTAATCAATACTGTTGCTGTTGGAGGCCTAACCATTGGCACTGAAGGAGTTAAACAGCATCCCCCACCCAGCCTCTCATTTCTAGGACCCCAGATGATGAAGTAGGTAAATATGTATTCCATTCATTGGTGCCTCTGACCTTGGTCTGTGACAGAGGAAAGGCGTGTCTTCTCACACTGTTCCCTACAAAGAAAAGGCAAGCAAATGAGGGTGACTCAGGACTTCTAGTGGCCTACACACGACTGAACATTTTTCTGAATGATTCCACGTATACACTTTGGAATCAGGAAGAGAAACATTTTACTCTTCACTAACCAAATAAAACCATCTATAAATCATATGCAAAACAACTTTGAGTAACGAGGGACTTAAGTCTAGGAATTAAAAGGAGTTCTGTATTTTCCCTTTAACTTTTTCCCTCCTTTGGGGAATAAACAAAGACATCTGCCACATCAAGAGTCTGGTTTGTTTGTTTGTTTTTTTTTTTAACTTTAAACTGAATGCAATCATTAAAGTTTACTTTGGGAGGAGCTTCTGAAATTTTAAAAATTACTTCTGCAAGCTGCAGTCTTAAATTTTACTAAAAATAAAATTTAGCATTTTTAAGTTAAAAAAATAGTTCAACGTTTCTCTTAATCTGATTACTAAATGAAACATCGTGTTGTGTATTATAAGCTATAATTAACTTATTAAGAATATGGTTTCTTGAAAACTGCCTTAAGCAGGCTACTAATAAAAAAAATTATTGACATACACATAGTGATGGGTCCCCCAAGTTACCGGACCACCCCTACTGAAAATATATTCCACCCCTTCTGAAAATATATTCGGTTACACATTAACTGTTGCTGTTTAATTTGAAACACATAGTCAGTCTGTGTGTACCCTATCCTCAAACTCTTTGTCAGGTTCACAACTTCCTTTTGTAGGAGTCTGCCAAGCCATTGATCAATAAAATGAGTAAAGGCTGCAAACATCTAGGAACTGTCTTATGATGTCTTGCAAATGTGTCCTGGTGCTTCCCACCTCTTATCTCTTATTTATAAAATTCAGATTTCGGGACGTCAATAAACCTCACACCTGGCTTTCGCTCTGACTTTATTCCACAGCTTTCCAAAAGGTAGGCTTTTCTCCCCCCTCTTTTGTCTTCAGTGCATTTCACACAGCCCAACATGGCTGTTTCGTTCCAAAGCTTTCCAGCAACTCCGTGTCTCGACAGCCTTTTCAGTGTTGTCAGGATCTTCCTTCGAGTCTACGATTGCAGAGTGGCTGGCTCTGCTGCACGTTGAAAAATAAACAAGTGCTTTCTGGCCGTACTTTGTTCAGCTCTTCTCTTTTATCTGTTTCCCTTATCCAGTTGCCCTTTCCCCCAGGTCCCTAGCACTTTTTTCCCCCCCCTACCATCAGTTGCCTTTTTGTTCTGGGTCTTTTTATCTCCTGTTCTTCTCCTGCAGTTCCAGTCAAACCCCAACCCCAAACCCACACATCCTTTGGTCACATTGCCCTTAGTGATTAAAACAGTAGCCATTCTGAGCTTGCTTTAAAAAATTAAAAAAGGCCTCAGAAAATGTTCAGTGCTCCCAATTTTATTTTTATTTAATGCTAAAAGTTAAAGGAAAAAAAAGGTACTGTAAATCTGACAAATGACAGAATGCAGGTGATTTTTCCATAGCGTGATTTTAAAATATAATAATGTTGATATCTGAGATTACACTCACTTCAGCTGACATGAGTTTCATCATATATAGAAAAAGTATCACCTTCAACTTAAAAAAAAAAGTAAAGGTTAAAAGGTGGCACACTTGAAAAATACTTGGTGGCCAAGGAAAGGTATATAGTAAAAGTTGTAAACCATGTGTACGTTCTCATAACTTTTAATGTGAGGCCACATGAAAGACAGCACATCTGTTATATTCTATAAATTGTTAAAGCAAAAAAAGGGAAAGCTTCAACACCCCATCCCCTAATATTTTGAGTATTTAAAGCACAGCTGAAATATTTAGGATCTTAAATCTGATACTGCCCATGTACAGTAAGTAGCTTTCTGACATCTTTATCCAGCTGTGGAGAATCTCTGCACTGCCATCAGGTACAACAAAACATCAAACCCATGTCCCAGTGTTAACTTTTTAACTTAAGAGAATGCCAGAAAAATAACCCGGATCAACATTTTACAGCTGCAAGCCTTCCACGAAGGCCACCCAAGGGCCAGGCGGACTCATGCAGACCTTAGTTTTTAATGGGAGTAACCTCAATACACAGCCCTTTAAAGCTATTCCTGTTCTCCCCCCTCCTTACACACCAGCACAGAGAAACCATAGGTTGTCTTTTCCACAGCTGGATAGACTTATTCAAAACAGCAGGATGGTTCTTTATTAATCTTTTTTGGAAAGCTTATCTGTATTGAGATTGCAAAGCATACAGATAGCTACCACGAATTAGGTCAAATGACTGATCAACTTGTAAAGTCTATGAGGTCAAATTCCAGTTTATAATAAAGTGCTTAGATACACATTAATACAACAAACCATAATAGTTGAATTCTTTACACATATCTTTATGGGCATGTAAAATTGACTCTGTGTTTCTGCATGTGTGCATTTACATAAGAGAAACCAGTCTGATCTGAGTCATAGATGCGCCAATTAAAAAAAAAAAGTGTAACAACAAACTGGTTAATCATGCAAGTCTGTTTGTAATATAACAATGACCGGTAACATGAATTTGCACAGCATTAATAATAGGTGCACTCATTAAAAACACTACAAAAAAAATACTGTATTTGGTGCAGTATCTGATTTTCAAGTGTTAATAACTCGACCATTAAAAAATATTTGAGCAACTTAAAAAAGAAAGACAAAACCGTAACTAAAAAAGAATCCAAAAAGGGTAACAATCTCTTGTCTTCAAATTAAAACAGAAGCTAGGTCGTAAATGATACACATAAGTTGTAGTAGACCTTGAAGCCATGATTCAGCCTAATTAGAGGGCCAAGTTACAAACACCTGAACATAAAAGGATTTAAAATAGTGTTCCTGTCAATGTTAAATCGTAACAGCACAAAAGAAAAACCAGTATCACTGTGAGACAACTATTTCTAATAACAGATGATTTATTGGTTTAAAAAAATCATTTTACTGATGCAAAATAATAATCAAAAGAAATTAGTTTACAAAAGGTTTCTAAGAATAGTTTGAGAGGTGGGGCCTGCCTACTATTAAAACCCTTTCTTTAATTTTCACTAGTTTATCTTTTTTTTTTTTTTTTCCAGAAGAACAGTATTATTCACTTGGTATTTCAAACACACGTAAGAAGGAAATTACAGGTTTCCTCCACCCCCATCTGGGCTGTCACTGATATGCCCACGGGCAGTCCTGGCAGCACCATGCGCTGTTACTGTCATTGTACCATACTGTATTTAGCACTCACTAGAAACAGGGTGTAGGTGATAGTACCAACAGCAATAGCACTACAGGTAAAATGATAAAACAAAACAAAACACAAAACAGAAACGAAACCAATCCCACAATCTCCAAGTTCACCTGAACTGTAACTTCTCTTGTGACTCTTTTCAAAGGAAACGACACCACCAACAACAAACAGAGCTCTAGGGTGTTTAAAAAGATGAAGTGGCGCTGCAGAGCCAGGCTCCGTTCAAAAGATAGCAGTGCCATCTTGTATACACCACCATCCATTATCACCGCCTTCAGTCACTGAATTGTGTATTATGTAACCAACTAGCATGCAGCATTGTAATCTTACAACTGATCACATGGGCAGTGAACAGTGGTCAACTTTGCCTTTAAAAAAAAAAAAAAAACCCCCCCCCCACCCGCCCCCAAAACCACACAGTCCTGAAAATCTCTCAGCAGCAACTCTCAGGCAGTCATCAATATCCCAACAACTGAAATTTAAGAACAAAACAGAGAAAGATTCAAAATCTACTTTCCTACTACTCTGAGAGGACAATGTTTTGGGGTAAACTTGGTGACATTTCTCAGTGGCATGCCGCCCATTTCACAACAGTGCCCCCTTCGCTCATTCCCTTTCCTTCTCCACCAACTGGCCTCCAGCCTGAGAGAGGGGCCAGCAATAAGGAATAACAGACAGTAAGGCAATCTTACAATGTCAGAAAATGTATTTGGCTTTTTTTTTTCTTTTTAAAATAAGTGCATACAAATACAGCTAGAAGCATTTCGGATTTGCCAAGTGCTCTAAAAAAGCAGCGCAAGTCACAGCCTACATTGAACGGTAACTGTCACCAGGATAATAAAGCACAAAGATATGCTAATAACATTAACAAAAGAAGAGAATGCCTTTATAAGTACATACCTTTTGTCGTCAAAAAAAAAATATAGAAACACAATGTATTCAAAAAAATCAAAATTATACAGCCATGTTTATGAAGTCTACATTTCCCTTGTCTTGGATATATATATATATATATATGTGTGTGTGAGTGTGTGTGTGTGTGTATATATATATATATATATATATATATATATATATGGAGATATATACACAATTCAAGCAGTTTTAGTTAAGGGTAATTCATTGGGTTTTTCTGAAACCGGAAAGTCACGAGTCTCTCTCTTTTTTCACTTTCACATCTCCAGCAAGGATGGTTGCAATTTCCCCTTGCATAAAGGCCCAGGGGACATTGGAGCCCACAAGAGGGCATTTTTCCCCACTGGGACAATAGACCTCTCCACTAGCTCCCTGCTGTTTGATGCTTTGTCTGGAGCAAGGGAAGCAGAACTTGTGCGAAGGGACAGACGGGCACTGCACAAAGTGGGTGTCCTCCAGCCGCTCGTGGCAGAGGGTGCAGCACAGAGGGGCACTGGCTGCCAGAGAAGAGTCTGGGAGGCTGGCAGGATGCACTGGCTCCAGTCCTCCTGTGCTGCCTGCCCCCTGGCCCCCCACCTCTCTGGGGCCTAGCCTTCTTTGGTTCATAGAGGACGGAGAGGGTGGACTGCTGCTATTCCTCCTGGTAGTGGAGTGAACCTGGTTGGCATCTTTCGAGGCATGACTGCCCCCTGCATTGTCTGCTACTAAGATCAGGGCTGCCATGGGCGACTGGCCGTTCTGAGCCGCTTCAGGCGGTGTGGTCCGGTTGGAATGAGGTGAGGCAGTGGGTGGCGGTGGAGACACAAAAGAGGATGTAGGAGTAATGGGGATCTTGAGCCCTTCTGTGGGTGTGGACAGCCATGGCTGTGCCTCTCCATTGATCTTAGGGGGCCCGACTTCACCTTCTGGTTCTGGAGAAGGCTTTCTTTTCCTTGCTGTTCTTGCAACTGGCGGGGGGCGGGAAAAGAAAAGGGAAAAAACAAAACAAAACAAAATAAATGGATGTGCACGGAAAACGACATGTCTTTTACTAACACCAAACAAGACTCACTAAAGAATTTCTATTTTCTCAAAGCTTTTATAGAAAAATCTCTCGAGTTTCAAGTGCACGTGCAACTCACAAGACTTTTAAGACTTACGGGGCTCTGGGGCAGGATTTTAAAAGGCCACAGAACAGAGCAGGTACGTAGCGGCCTGTTTTTACACGTGCATGCACGTACCCCAGGTTGAACTGTGCATACGATTGCTAATGTCCCCCAACAGGTTAAAAGGTGGCCGGTGCCCTCATGCTTCCACCCAAGAATGTGCTGGGAAAGGAAAACCCTGTGTCAGTGCCTATCAGCCCAGTCTGACTCATCTCTGTTATGCTGCTTCAGCACATGAACACGTTGCCACTAAGCACTGGTTCCGCCTCGGGCAGATCAGGAAGTTGGGGGTTTGTTGTTTCTGGGCTGGGGTAGAACCGGTGAATGGGAAGAACACCCCCTCCTCTGCTCTGCGTCCCCCTCTCTCCCCTAGGTCCCCTCACTCCACAGCCGCCCCTACCTGCTTTAGACCCGTTGGCCCCGTTGGCCTCGAAACCCAACAACCTGCCTGCAGTCAGGGCCGGCTCCTTCTTAAACTTGCTCTCGAAGGGCCCCGAGTGGCCGTGCTGGTGCAGCGCCAGCAGCGTGTCTCGCACGGTCTTGGGCCTGTTGACCCAGTCCTGCTCTCCGGGCCCGCGGCCTTTGCTCGCGCCCTCGGCGCCCAGCTCGGTGGCCCCGGCCGCGGTGGCCAAGCTGTCGGGCGCGCCGCGATGCGAGGGCGGCGGCGGCTGCTTCTCCTTGGCCGCCGCCTCGCGCTGCTCGTGCTCCACGGCCGCGCTGCTAGACACGGACGCCGGCCGCTTGTGCGAGCTCAGTTCGGCGGGCTGCGCCGAGCCCAGGCCGGCGGCCGCGGCCCCGGACACGGCGGCCAGCGAGGCGGCGGCGCGGCCGCTGAGGCCGAGCGCGGCGGGCAGCGGCGTGGCCGAGCCGTTCATGAGCGGCACCAGGGTGGGCGGCACGGCGTGCCCGCGCCGCGGGTTCGGGCTCTGGCGGTTCAGCTCCGGGGGCTCCTCCAGCTTGGAGAAGCCGTTGGGCACCAGGATGCCGTTTACGGGCGGCGGCTGCGGCGTCGGCGGCTGGGCCAGGCCTGTAGCCGGGCGGCTACCGCCAAAGTCGGAGCCGAGGCGCGGGGGCCGCTCCGCGGCGGCCGCCAGGGGGTAGCGCTCCAGGGCCTGCGGGGCGCGCGGGGTCGCCTCGGGGCCGCCGTGGCCCAACTGCTGCTGCTGCAGGAGGATGTCCTTGGCCGAGAGCGGCGGCGGCTTGGCGGCGGCGGGGGCCGCGGCGCCCGGCGGGGAGCGGCCCTCCGGGAAGCAGCCGTGCGCCCGCTTGAGCTGCCGCGCCGTCTCGATGACGAACTCGACGCGGTCGGCGCCCTCGTAGTTGACGCAGCCGCGGCACACGGGCTCGGTGAAGTCCCAGATCATGGCCCAGGGCATGCGGGGCAAGTCACACAGGTAGCACGACTGCCGCCGGGACGCGGCCGCCACCGCCACCGCCGCGGCCATGTCCGAGGAGCCCGCGGCGCTGGAGGTGGAGGAGGAGGAGGAGGAGGAGGGGGCGCCGCCGCTCCCCGCCGGCACCACGCGCGCCCTCCTCCCCCCCCAACCCCGCGTCTCCCCCACCAGCGGCGGCGGCGGCCGCAGAGGCGGCGGCGGCGGCGGCAAAGCCCGCGAAGGCTCGGCGCCCGCGCAGCGCCCCCGGGGCACGAGGGGCGGCGGGCGCGGGGCGAGGGGCTGCAGC